TGCGTGTGCGTGAGGCCGCAGTCAGTGCCAGCAGCTGCTTGCTCCGTTCTCAGGCCACTACCTGCAACGCAGCCACCAGCGCTCCTGGTCCTGGCCTGGTGCTTCTCCTCGGGCAGCTAGACAGGGGTCCCAAGCCACCACCTCTAGGGCGAAGCCCCTCCACGCAGACACCAGCCTCACGCTGATTCCCCTGGGCTTGTTCCGAGAGCGGCAGGGTAAGGAGCACCAAGCCAAACCCCTGGCAGACAGCAGCTCCCAGCAGCCTGAGCACCCCCTGCTGGCCTTGCGCAGAGGGGTACCAAGGCCATATGCTCCAGTGGAGAGGGGAGGCTCTGGGGGGTGCCCCGGCAGTGGGCTGAGCAGGACCCCGGCAGAAGAAACACAGCCACAGCGTAGAAATATCCTGACTATAATTAGGTGCAGGGCTCCCCCACACCACACACACACGGCCAGAGGGCAAGGGCCCTGGTGCGGGACAGTCACCACCATGGACACGCTAGGGGCAGCTTCCTGCAGGGTCTCCAGCCCACGGCTGCCCACGGGAAGGGCGGGCAGCCCAGCCCCAGCAAGGGCAGTCACTGTGAGCCTGCAGCCCTGGGGCGTCTGGCCAGCCTCCCCGCCATGTCCTGCAGCCGCTGCTGCCCGCTCCCAGCCCCTGCCGGGGGAGCATGCTGGGGAACGGAGGATGGTAGCTGAGCAGCGTCCGGAGCGGGTTACTTCGAGGTGGAGGGTTATTCTACGAGCCGGATTGCAGCGGGGCAGGGAGGACGGGGGCTGCCGTGCGGGGAAGAGCTGGCCCGGGCGATCCGTCTGCTCTCCCGGTGGGGCTCTCAGTAGTCGGCCGTGTACTCTGTGCCATGCAGGCCCCGGCACAGCAGGGTGAACTCCTTCACCATCTCCTTCACACGCCGCTTGTTCACACGCTCTCTGCTAACACAGAGACAGGGACACGCGTGAGCCAGACTCTGCTAATACTCGCCCGTGGGACCAGCAGCACCGG